CAACATCCATTGCTCCTCTGTTCAGCAATTGTACAGAAGACTTATTTTTGAATATTCTTGCAGAGATTCATCCTGCTGCCTCCCTGAATGTGGTCGCCCTCCACATGAAGTTACTACCTTCCTTCTTCCTGGTTGGAAATCCCTCTTCTCTGCTTTCACTTCTGTAAATGAGCTTTCCCTCTGACCTCTGAGCATGTGCAGCACAGAGTAGAAGATGTTCAAAGTAGGCAAGAGAAACCACTGAACAGGAATGGGGCCTAAGTCTGAGTCAGCTCCAATGTGGCAAGTGGCTCCTCCTTGTCTCTCACCACTGGCCAGGCCAGCAGGACCTTCCTTTCCTCCATGAGGAGAGGCTCTGTGCAGAAGGCAAATCCCCTTTCTTCTGCTTTTAAAAGTATAGTTATGGCAATGTACACAAAATGAACAGCTTTATACATTCTTAATATAATTCAGTTGCTTGTTATATTCATTCTATTGGGCAAACACAGTAAAGGCATTGCCCATTTCAAGAAGATTTTTTTTTTATCTTCCTCAAGTTAAGCTGTACATATTAGGCAACTTCCCTGATTTCCTTTCTCTCTAAATCCTCCATAATCTCTATTCTATGTTCAATGTCTATGATGAAATTGATAGAATTAGGACATTTGATTGAATGTCCGTGTAATATTTGCTGATTTCTATAATGAAAATTTTCTTGCTTCCATGAAAAAAATTCACATGAAAAAATGAATGAGCTATGTATCCTTGGCTTCCTTCATCTGTGGTTAGGAAGTATCGGACTGTAGCCTGAGAGAATCCCATCATGAGCTTTTCACACATCACCTATCACTGCTCTCTAGCCTGCTGCCCTGAATGCACCAAACTCTCTCTCTTCCAGAAGGTTCCAATCAAGGGAAATTGAAAGTTTAGTGTCAAATTTTATTTGTGGGCAGAGATCAGAAACAGGCCCATTAAAACCTTTGCCCTTGGAGGAGACATTTATAGAAAGAAAAACCAAGTGGTTATATAATCCTCACCATACTAATATTTGTTGGTATAATGTTGGTTAGAATAAATATGAAGACTATGGAAAAACATCATGAGCCAAATAGCCGGGAGAGTGCCTAGTTGATAGCTGATTTTCTAGAGTAGGATGTTTTTCCTTCTGAGTTTCTTATTTGACACTCATACAATGTGTTTTGATTATTTTTCTCTCTCCCTTACCCAATTTCCCTAGGTCCACAATCCTTCCCTTACTACCCAACTTGTGCCACCCTTTCCCCATTAAGGTCAAGTTGTGTTGCTTAAATAACTTCCACCGGAGCATGGCCAATTTATCAGTTTGCTTAGGCTGTTCTTTTTCTCTGTCTTTTCCTCTCTCAGCTAAATACTGTTAATACCGCCTGGCTTTTGATGATCATGTCCAACTCCTCTCTTCCTGTTGGGATTTGGTCTTGCCTGGGCTTGCACAGGTCTTGTGGATGCTACTGCATCTGCAGTGAGGTCCTGGGAGCAGCTACGATGTCAAAGCCTTGTAATCAGCCATGGCCTCTGGCTCTCATCCTCCTTCTGTCCCCTCCTCTGTGATGATCCCTGAACACTGGAAGGAAGGGGTGAGGTGTATATGCTTCATTGAGGGCTAAGTGTTCCCCATTCTCTTATTCTCTGCACTTTGGCTGGCTTGTGGACTTCTATTTTAATCAGCATCTACTACAATCAGAAGCTTCTCTGATGAGGGTTGAGACATGCATGAATCTGTGGGCATAGGAAGAAGCCATTAGGAGTCAGTTTAATACATAGTTTAATACATTTAATACATTTAGTAGAATAATAGTAGTTCCTCCCCTAGGTTCTTTGACCCCTGTATAGCCATAGATACTTGGCCTGGTGATTGTAGTAGGTATGAGTTTTACCTTGTGGAATGGGACTTAAACCCGATCAGAGAGTGATTGGTTAATCCAATAATTAGCTGTTGTTAGTTAATGCTTGTTCCACTGTAGTAGCAGTGGGCAGTGTGTGTATAGGTGTATTTTAGGAAGCTCCTACATTAGTAGGTTTCCACATGACTTTTTTGAAAAGTCTTTAGTGTTATTTCTCTCTCTCATTTTCCCTCTTCCACCCTGTCCTTCCTTCTCCCACCTCATCTTATCCTTTCTTGTTCCACAATTACTTTTTAACCCTTTACACAAGTGCATTCTATTTTCTCTCCCTAGAAATCCCTTCCTGCAGGGGTCTATGTGATCTTCGCTGACAGCCCAGAGATGAACACGGGAGGCAAGAAGGCAGTTTGGTGCAACATGACTTTGTAGTCAGTGTTGTTCCAAACTGTGGGAGTCTGACCCCTATTGGCTTATTTTAGGCTTATTTAAATACAACACAGTCCAGTGGGAACTATTCCTGTGATGATTAAATCAATCACACATGTACAAGAAAGCATGCCTAAGGCTACTTGAGAAATAAAGAAAGCTAAATATAGAACAGATGTGACCACACCAAAACTCTTTATAGAGCACATGGGGTTCCGTTCATAAAAACAGGTTGTACGGATTGACTGAGAAAAACAAGTCTGCAAGAATGGGTCTGGAGGCGGGACTTCAGCCACACAGATTGTGCAAAGGTCACCAGTCTAGAAAACCCAACCGTTTCAGGCGTCTGAATGAAAGCCAGGCTTTGTATTCCTTCCCTTGAAGGAAAAGCCCTGCGTGTTTAACATTCCAGGTTCCCTAGTACAGTTGTACTCAACCTGTGGTTTGTGACCCCTAATAAACGACCCGTTCACAGGGCCACCTGAGACCATCAGTAAATGTAGATATTTACACTACGATCCATATTAGTGGCAAAATTTTAGTTATGAAGTAGCAATAAAAATAATTTTATGGTTGGGTTCATCACAACATGAGGAGCTGTATTAAAGGGTTGCAGCATTAGGAAGGTTGAGAATCACTGCCCTAATGCATGTCTGTGGCGGCAAAAGAGTTCTGGGCCTTCCACACTCTCCATGGGCTCTTAGTAATTCACTGACTTCTGTAGGTATTCCAAATGTAACACATACATCTGAAAGTTCAAAGTTAACATTTATAAAGGAGAGAAAACATGTGACACTTATCTTTCTGGGTCTGAGTTACTCACTCTGGATGACTGTTTTTGTCTCCACCCATTTACCTGCAAATTTTATATTTTTAATTTTAATGGCTGAGTAATTTTCCATTCTCTTAAATGTATCATATTTTCATTATACATTCATTGGTTTATAGACAGACTGTTTCTATTTCTTGACTATTATGAACAGAGCAGCAATGACTTTGGATGAGCAAGAACCTCTAGAGTAGGATAGTCATTGAGGCATATGCCCAGTGTAGTATAGGTGACTCAGGGAAATCTATTCTCAGCTGTTTGAGGAACCTACGTACTGATTTCCAGAACCCTTTTGCCCTTTTGTCTGAGCTGACACAAAGCTTGGAAGACATTTAAATGAATACAAATTCAGTATCAGCTCAAGAAATGCCCAAAGCAGAGCTCAACAAGGCGGCAGTGGTCAGCTGGAAGCTCCGGTAGGAAAAGTCCACTGGACCTTGACACTCTATGTAGATGAAGGGATTATAAGACTTTTGGGAAGATTAAGGCATAGCTTGATGTGGGACACAGTACGTCCTCAGTAAATGTTCAATCTCTTTACTACCAGATCCTGAGCACATCAGCCCCCTTGATGGGCTCCTTTGTATAAGGCGTTACAACGTCTCAGCTGCAAGACCACCCAGCCCCACCATGTCAATCTCACCTGTAGCTGAAGCTGAGGCATCGTGCACACTCCAGGGAGAATTTCACTCTGCTCTGCTGAGCTCGTGCCAGGCCATGCTTTCAGTCCAAAGAACTTTATATTGGAATATCCTGTTCCTCAGCTGTGGACTTCACAGAGCATTGCTGTTCACAGTGGAGTATTGCACGGTGATGTGAGTTAATTAAGCAACCCGCTAGTCTTATAAGGTCCACATCACTTTAAGATGTATGCTCCTTCCTGCATGATTCCTAAATGCCCAGACTCCAGCAGTCTCCCTAGTATATTATCTGTGAGTTGAGAGTCTGGGGACGTGATAATCAACTGTCGCATTGCCGTGGGACTAAAGGAGAGGGCGCAAACCCCCTGCGGGAAGGTGGGCGCTCGTGGTTGATGGCCAGATGGTTGTTTCCTAAAGCTTTTGTCAAACCTCTCCTGACCTATCTGGGAAAAAAAATCCATTTTTCTCTCCAAAGATCTTACCTTTTCTATGACAGTAGTTTTCACAGGTGGCTTAAAGCTACTTCTGTATGAACGAGAATAAGCATACATCAATTTCCCTATTTTTTAGTTCTTATTAGTCAATTATAAAATTTAATTATTTTTCTTCTAAACATTTTGATTTTTAGTGTTTATTTATAGAAAGCTGGTTTAGATTTATTCATGTATATACAGTTTAACAGTTTGCTTTATAGCTTAGATTTTCTTTCTTTTATAGTTTTCCTTCTTTCTTAACTATATCCTCCATGTTTTTCTTTAATGAAAGTACAAGATTATTCTCTTTCAATTTTTTGTTTGCATAAAAGGAATTATTTTCCTTACATTCCTCAATGACAATCCTACCAAGTATACCTTGTCACTGACGGTCGTCTTCTTTTGCTATTGGGATATAGCCTGCCCATCACCTGGCTTCCACCATTGCCTCAAGAAGCCTCCTGCCTTTGAAAAAGGTTTTCATTCATTCAGTTTGTCATCTCTAACAGGCTGTCTTCATGGTCAGCATCTCCTTTCCCTTGCAATCCTGGGGTTCACCATCCTCTGTCTAGATGTGATTTCTTTTTAAAATTTTACTTAAGAAATGTTAACCTTTATCAAATAGGATAAATGATGCTTTTCTTCAATTCTGGAGAATTTTCAGCCATCATCTCTCTAAAAAAGGTATTTGCTTTACTCTCACTGTTGCTCATTCTGGGACAAATTTAACCTCCATGGGTCTCTTCTTTAGTGATTTCCATTTTCTTGACAGGATCACGGGGCAGTTGCTAGGAAACGGAACTGGAGCTCAGTCCTTTGGGCTGGAATCGTGGCTGTGTCTCTTTCTCAGCAGCTGTGAGAATCTGGGTGAGTTCCTTAGCCTTCCTGAGCCTTGATGTCCTCAGTTCTAAAAATGCAGAAGCTGCAGCCACCTTCATGACATCTCCATGACTTAAGAGACTGCAACACGCTAAAGTATATGCAGGGTGTTTGTTCCAATGTTTCTGTGCTTCATTCTGAAAAATCTTCCATCTTTATTGCGTATAATTCACTAGTTGTTTTTTTAAAAGATATGTATTTACTTTTATGTATATGGTGCTCTATTTGCATATACACCTGCAGGCCAGAAGAGGGCATTAGACCCCATTATAAATGGTTGTGAGCCACCATGTGGTTCCTGGGAATTGAACTCAGGACCTCTGGGAACAGCAGCCAATGTTCTTAACCACTGAGCCATCTCTCCAGCTCCCACTAGTAATTTTTATTCTGTGTTTAGTATTTCCCTCAAGATTCTTGGTTTATCACTATAAATTTTATTTTCAAAAGTAAGCTTCTGAGAAAGTAACTTTTGGTTGTTTCTTTAAAGAAGCCTAAGCAATGATTTTTCACAAGACCAGGCTTCTTAAATTTGCTTTAAATACACTCTTTTATTGCTTTATCTATTCCATTAGACTCAGAATTTCCCCCTAAGTACTCAGACCCCCTTGGCCAGCTCGCACTAAGCTTTCATTATGTCTTTGAGGGCGTCTGGATAATGCAGGCTTCCCTGGCAATTGTGAGCTTTCAGGTGTAATTGTTTAAGGAGAATTTCTTTCTCTTCCCTGAAAACGAGAACCAAAGCAAGCAGGTGGTCTGTGTCTTCCACCAGAGAGGGGTTTTCTCCGAGCTTCTCTCCTTTTCCCAATTCAGTTTTGTGTAGCTAAATACAGTTTGACTTTAACTTTGTCTCGGACCCTGACTTTGTCTGCTGCGTTCTAGTACACTGACCTGTTAGCCTTACCAACCTATAATTCTGGATATTTTTCTTCCACAGGGAAGTGTTCTATTTATTATATATCCATCCATCAGTTTTGAAGGATTTTTAGAGGGCATGGTGTAGCTAGTGTGACCATGCTTCCCTGGCAGGCACAAGGCACTGGGTTCAATCCCACGCAATGTACTTCTAAAACAGAGGGGGTACTTTCAAAATAAATGATAGTTGGTGGCTTAAGACACTTGATATTGTTAGCAGAAGGTCATTCTTACTTTATTGTCCTATAGGGTCCCTGCCTGGGTCATCATTATGTTATCAGTGAGAAGCTTACTGTCAATGCAGACAATTTTAAATAAAAATATATGTATATATGTGAATAAAATCTTGCTGCTTCTTAGGTACTTCTCCTAAAAGGCCAGGAACTTTCATTTTCATTACTTACACAAACAGCTAAAATATGTTGAAGTTGGAACATGGAGTCAAAGCTCTGAATGGAATGAATAATTACTACTTGCCACTTTGAGACTCTCCCAGTTACGCAGAAACATAGCAGATCTGAGGGCAGGATAATCCCTAAAGGACTTTCTCATGGAGTCAGCTGCCATGCAATCTGCAGGTTCCATAGCCCTCAGCTCAACCAACCGGTGCAAACTGAAAATATTCAGGAAAAAACCTTGGTCCTGAACATGTGTTTACAAGGTGCTTGCCTTGTCACTGCTCCCTAAACAACACTACAACTATTTCCAAAGCACTTGTATAAAACCTAAAGACTGCTAAAATTATATAGATAATACGTTTCAGAGTTTGTGGCCCCCAGGGAAAGACCATAGAATTAATCAAATTATAATTAAAATTTATTGATTAACTGCTAACAGGACAACAGCCTTAAAGTCCAAATCTCAGTCATGTTGTGAAGAAGGGGGGGGGGGGCGTAGAGAAAGTTTCTTTGTTGTTTTGTTTTTGAAGGTGAAAACCACAAGAAGCCTTTCAATATCTACATAAGAAAATGAAAACTGGTCTTTTCTTCCAAGTGGTCAAGGTGATTCAAAACAATCTTTGGGTATCTGTTTAAGGAAGTGACGGAAGCAAAAGAAGCAGTTGGTCACGTAATAGCAAATAGATAGTTATGGCTGTACATTTCTGGGTAGTGGTCACTGAGTCAGAGTTACTGGGAACTTATCTTCCAGGGACTGGAGTCATAGACAAAGGACTAGTGGGTACCAAAATGGATGCCTAGCATAAAGGGGAATGTCTTTAGCCATCGCAAGCAAATGTGAGTTGAGTAAGTAGGCCACATATAAACAGTAGCGTTTTATACAGGAAACAAACAGCTTCGGATCTCTATATCCTCACAGAGTCTCAACCTCCTGAAAATATCAATGTGAGATAGTGTTCAAGACTTTGCTTTGACCACCAGATAAACTTGTGGAGCCCACATCATTGACAAGATAATTGAATATTATCATGAATACACCTATAGATCGCATTCTTCATTTATGATGTTTCTATTTTCTCAGTAGAAAGTTCTGGTGAGTTTAATATCCAAGATAGATTCTGACTATCCCTAAATTTAGAGTTCTGACATTGACAATTGCTTATTCTGACGTCTCCTCAATGTATTAGGAAGATATATTGAATATAAAGGAATGGATTATTTGATTTTATAAAACACTTGAGGTGATCATGAGAAAGAAGAATTTGACAGAGAAGAGATCCATATTTGAGGTTAAAAACACCAAGTGCTCATGAGAAAGCTGGACATGCTTGTGGTGTTTCACCTTGCAAGGGTCCCGGCATGCCAATTCAGAGGCTGCAGCAGCATGGGAAGGCCTGTGGGAGGCGAGGCCAGGGAAACTCATGCCCTGTCCAGAAATCAGGCAAAGTAGGAACCCCAGACTACAGTCGCTTGGGCTGGGGCCAGAGTGGTTTGGAGCAAGCTTAAAGAAGAACTGAAGGCCTGGCTTCTCCTGAAGTTGTTGGGCCTACATGCTGGTGACACAGGAAAAGAGCTCCATTTCAGTTCTACCCTCAGAGGGTCAATGTCACTTGTCATTGCTAGCATCTAACAGCAAATGCTGTATGTAACCAGGGACTCTGTGGGATTCATGGAAGGACAAGGGTCAAGGGTCATTATAGTTGAGAACCACTGCTTTGAGGAAGATGAGTGTCCAAACCCAAAGTATTCATGGTCCCAGGTGTAGCATGAATAATAAAAACCGAGAAACAGATACTGGGCTTCAAACTGAAGATCAGAAAAGCAAAGCGCCCAGGCACTATTGCTTACTTCTACCATAGACTGACATGGGCAATCCTGCCTCCACTAATTCTCAGACCGAGACTGAGTTTGAGACCTGTCTCCTCCTGTCTTTTATTCCTCTCTAGTGTTGGAATTAAAGGCATGTACCACCATTGCCCAGCTTTTATGGCTAACTAGTGTAGCTGCTGGGATTACAGGTACGTGCCACCATTGCCTGGCTTGCATGTTTGCTGTGCTCTCTGATCTTCAGGCAAGCTTTATTAATTAAAACACACATAATACCCGAGCCCATCATTAAATTTGTAACATTGAAATGTGCACAAAAGCATCTATACAGAATCAAGAACAAGGTGTGAGCTTAAATCTTCCAACAGAGAGAATGAGGATCAGCTCTAAGATTTCTGGGAGTTTCAGGCAAAAGTGGGTTGGTTCCCTTTCCTCCAACAGTGACTTTACTTTTCCTAGTATTGTGCAAACCTTTTCACATCATATTCAGATGAGAACCTGAAGGTTTTGGTCCAGTGACTTACAGGTCACACTTGGCAGAGGCTCTGGCAAAGTAGTATTCATGTGGAGAGGTGAAAATGTGACCTTAATCAAAGGGAAAATGTATTTGACGCCAAAAGTTCCTGTTGTTTGTTCTTTTGCCCCCTATAAGGAACAAGTGGATTTTATGGTGTGTGTGTGTGTACTTTTCACATAGATCATAATAACTGACTACAGACTACAAGGCTGTGCATAGACAAAGGATCACGAGACATGGATTCCTATGAGTGACTGACTGCTCCCCGCTTTCATAAACAACCGCCCCCACCTGTCTGCTCTACACTTTATCTCACTTACTCTTCCTCATTTTCTTTCTCCCTCATGTCTCCTTCAGTCACTTCTCCTTTTCTTCCTTTTAGCCCCTCCTGTTAGGGTTTAGTGGAGGATGCAGGTGGACTGTGATCAGCCCTGGATGGTAGTTCTCAGGAGCAGAATAACCTCAGACAGGAGCCTATGGGAAAACACAGCCTTCGAGGCTGCCAGCTGCATCCAAAACCCCCAGTGCCTCGGTGTCATGATATTAAATGTTTATCTCTTTCCACGATAATTCTAAAAATTTGTAAATTTGGTGCAGAGAGCTAGGACTTGCGTATATTTACTATGTTACAAGGTAGATGTTTTCATCTGATTTTATAGATGAAGACCCGGTAGGCCTTGTGAGGTCCAATAGATATCCAGTCCAACAGGCAAGCATTTCACTGTATTCTGACTTTCCTAAGTATAACTTTTCAATGTCTCTAGGTTGGACATTATAATTTTTGAAGATTATTGACAAGCCAGTAGGCTAGACACATGGGAAGGTGGTATAAGACTTTTCTTCTCCTTCTCACCAGCAGCAAACATTTATCAAATGTCTGCTCCCAAAGTATGTTTTAGGTAGATTTTCTGCATGCATTTATAAAACGCATCATGGAACAATTTGAAGATGAAGGAAGCGTTATGATCATCTCAACTTAGTAATGCAGGGCATGTTAAGTATAGACACCCATGTGGGTTTCTCAAGATAGTTTGGCTAGTAAATGAAAGCGGCAAAACTTCAGAGCTAAGTCTATAGTAGTCACATACTGTGCTAACAACTTACATCCCACAGTAACGAAGGAGGGCACAGTTCAAGGGAAGAAAGGTTGGGGGCAAAGCAAGAAGAGAGGAGAACTCAGCTGATGGAAAAATAGTGTTTGGAAAGGAAGAACATACTGTAATGAGAAAGCTCCTGAGACTAGCTCAGTAATCAAGGCGAGCTTGCTGCACAGAAATCAATTACTTTTCATCTAACAATGCCACAGATGGCCTCTGAAAACAAAGCAAGTTCTC